CATTCCATCCCATACCTGCCCTTCCCTCGGCCGCTCCTCCTCAGTGACGGCGCCTCGCCCTCCCTCTCCTCCTGCACGCGCTGCAGCGATGGCGAGCGGCTGTGGGCACCGCGGCCACCGCCCGGGCTGGCCACGCTCCCGTCTCCCGCCGCGATTCCGGCGGCCGCTTCCTGCATCTGCACCAGCAGCTGGGGCGGGAGGCTCCGCAGCGAGGGCACGGGCGAGTACGAGGCGCGGCTCTCGGCCTTGAGGTTGTTGTCGCTGGCCGAGCGCTGCAGGACCCGCGGCGACGCCAACGCGGCCGAGCCCAGCAGCCGGCGGCGCTTGGTGTAGCTGGGGGTTTCTCGGAAAGGCACTGGGGGAGAGGAAAAAAATATGGGAATGTTGGGGTGAGGGTGGGAATTGAAGGCGTGGAAAGGGGTTGAGTGTTGGGAGTTACTCAGAAAGGCACTGGGGGGAAGAAAAAAAAAAATGGGAATGTTGGGGTGAGGGTGGGAATTGAAGGTCCGAAAAGGTGGGAATGTGGGATTAGGTGTTGGGGGTTTCTTGGAAGGGCACTGAAAAAAATATATGGGAATGTTGGATTAGGGTGGGAATTGAAGGTCCGAAAAGGTGGGAATGTGGGATTACGTGTTGGGAGTTTCTCGGAAAGGCGCTGGGGGGGAGAGAAAAAAAAATGGGAATGTTGGGGTGAGGGTGGGAATTGAAGGTCTGGAAAGGTGGGAATGTGGGAAGAAGGTTGGGAGTTTCTCAGAAAGGTGCTGGGGAGGAAGAAAAAAAAAAATGGGAATGTGGGGTTAGGGTGGGAATTGAAGGTCCAAAAAGGTGGGAATGTGGGATTAGGTGTTGGGAGTTTCTCTGAAAGGTGCTGAGAAAATGAATGAGAATGTGGGATTAGGTGGGAATCGAAGGCATGGAAAGGGGTTGAGTGTTGGGAGTTACTCAGAAAGGCACTGGGGGGGAGAAAAAAAAATATGGGAATGTTGGGGTGAAGGTGGGAATTGAAGGTCCGAAAGGGTGGGAATGTGGGATTAGGTGTTGGGGGTTTCTCGGAAAGGCGCTGGGGGAGAGAAAAAAAATATGGGAATGTTGGGGTGAGGGTGGGAATGTGGGATTAGGGTGGGAATCGAAGGCCCAAAAAGGTGGGAATGTGGGATTAAGTGTTGGGGGTTTCTTGGAAAAGTACTGAGAAAAAAAATGGGAATGTTGGGGTTAGGATGGGAATCGAAGGTCCAAAAAGGTGGGAATGTGGGAAGAAGGTTGGGAGTTTCTCAGAAAGGTGCTGGGGAGGAAGAAAAAAAAAAAGGGGGAATGTGGGGTTAGGGTGGGAATTGAAGGTCCAAAGAGATGGGAATGTGGGATTAGGTGTTGGGGGTTTCTTGGAAGGGCACTGAAAAAAAATATGGGAATGTTGGGGTTAGGGTGGGAATTGAAGGTCTGAAAAGGCGGGAATGTGGGATTAAGTATTGGGAGTTTCTGGGAAAAGCACNGGGAATGTGGGATTAAGTATTGGGAGTTTCTGGGAAAAGCACTGGGGGGAAGAAAAAAATGGGAATGTTGGGGTTAGGGTGGGAATTGAAGGCGTGGAAAGGGGTTGAGTGTTGGGAGTTACTCAGAAAGGCACTGGGGGGGAGAAAAAAAAAAATGGGAATGTTGGGGTGAAGGTGGGAATTGAAGGTCCAAAAAGATGGGAATGTGGGATTAGGTGTTGGGGGTTTCTTGGAAAGGCAATGAGAAAAAAATGGGAATGTCGGATTAGGTGGGAATCGAAGGTGTGGAAAGGGATTGAGTGTTGGGAGTTTCTTGGAAAGGCGCTGGGGGGAAAGAAATCAGAATGTGGGATTAAGGTGGGAATTGAAGGCCCAAAAAAGATGGGAATATGGGAAGAAGGTTGGAAGTTTCTCAGAAAAGCAGTAGGGAAAAAACTGGAAATATGGGATTGGGTGGGAACAGAAGGACCAAAAAAAGATGGGAATAGGGGATTAGGTGTTGGGAATGTGGTTGTGGGAAAAGATGGAAGAGGGTGGGGGAGCAGGAAGGTTGGGAATCACCGTGGGATGGGAGAATCATGGATCACCAATGGGAGGGGTGGGAATGAGTGGGAACGTCGAGAATGTAGAGGAGGGTTGGGAATTCCCAGGGAATTGGCTTGGGAAGAAAGGAATGGTCTCCATCTGCTCCCAGCACTGGGAATCCACAGGATCCAACCATGGATCACCACCGGGAAGGGTTTGGAAGTGGCATCTCAGGAAGTTCTGATGGACCAAGCCAGGATCTGTGGAATTCCCAAAAATCCACCTCCAGCTTCCACCAGGATCCACATTTCCACAAATCCCGGCTGCTCCTCCTATTCCAGGTCTTTATTCCAGAGCTCCAGGGAAAATCCAGCACAGGGAATCAATCACCAATGACTCCCTGCCCTGAATTCCCTCCCAATCCTTGGGAATGCCGGGATCCACCTGGAAGTGCAAACTCCGGCTCCAGAGTGGGACCAGGGCTGGAATCCCCATCCCAGAGGGATTTCAGGCAGAATTTGGGGACGTGGATCAGTGGTGGCCTTGGAAGTGCTGGGAATTCTTGGATTCAATGTCTTAAAGGACTTTTCCAGCCTAAACAATTCCGTGATCCATGAAAGAGATCCGGATGTTCTGGAAAGGGAAGAGGTTCAGCCACGGGGTCCCTGCACTCCAAAATTCCAGGAAAATGGGATTTTCCAAGATTTTGTTCAATGAGCTCATTCCCAATCCTGAACTTTAACATCCTGGAAATTTGTCTGGCGCCTGCGGCAAAATCTGGGAAATGCGAAATCGCAGGAATCCATTCCTGGCACCAAAACATTGGGAAAAACACGGATTGCTCCCACTCCAAGGCAGAACAGGAGCCAGGGAACAAGGAATTCCAAGCCCTCTGGATTCGGGATATTCCCAGAGCCACCATTCCAAGGCCTTCCCGAGGTGAATCCTGAGGATGCTCCGAGGCCACCAGGAGAAGGAGAATCCCGGGATTGGGAAGGAGCAGGCCAGGCTGAGCATGGCTGCGCTCGGAATATTTTCCCCAGGAATATTTGAGGTTCAAAGTCCGAGGATTTCAGGCTCCTGGAACTCTTCCCGTTGCCGTGGCAACGGCAGGCGTTCGTTCTCCGATGAGTTCCAACCTCGGGTGCGGGAATTTCTCCCGGCAGCGGCGCTTCCCGGATCCTGCCGGCACCCCCTGCCCTCGGCGCCCACATCCGGCCGTTCCCAGCGGGAAAACCGGACAAAATCATGGAATTTTGGAGCCAGAGGGGTTGGAAAAGTCCTCCAAGGCCACAGATCCCAGCCAAGGCAGAGGCCACCCCTGATCCGTGTCCCCAAGTGCCACCGGGAAGAAGGGATGTCCCACCAAGGCCATCCCGGTGGGAAAACTGGGTCAAAATTATGGAATTTCGGAGCCAGAGGGGCTGGAAAAGTTCTCCAAGGCCATCAATCCCAGCCATTCCCAACACTGCAAGGCCACCACTGATCCGTGTCCCCAAGTGCCACCAGAAAAGGGATGTCCCAATGGAAAAATGGGTCAAAACCATGGAATTCCAGAGACTTTAGGGGCTGGAAAATCCCTCCCAGACCATCAATCCCAGCCATTCCCAGCGATCCTGGGATTCTGGGATTCCAGACTGGCTGGGTGAGCGCAGTGATGATGATGATGATGATGATGATGATGATGATGATGATGATGATGATGATGATGATGATGAACAACCAAGAGTGAACTCCAAGAGCTGGAATCAGGACATTCCCAGATTCCCATTTCTATGCAAGAATTCCTGATCTCCCCCTCTGGAATCCACTGTTCCCAGTGGGAAAAGGAGGGATGAGGATGATGATGATGAAGAACCACCAAGCCCAAACTCCAGGATCTGGAATCAGGATATTCCCAGACCACTCCTAGATTCCCAGTTCTGTGGAATATTTCCTCATCCTCCCGCTCTGGAATTCACAATTCCCAGTGGGAAAAACCAGGAAGGAAGAGATTGATGATGATGATGATGATGATGATGATGAAGAAGATGAAGATGATGGTGATGATGATGAAGAACCACCACCAAGCCCAAATTCCAGGATCCAGAACCAGCACATTCCCAGATTTCCAGCTCTAAGGAATATTTCCTCACCCCCCCCCCCCCCCCCCCACCCTCTGGAATCCACAATTCCCAGTGGGAAAATCCGGGGAAGGAGACAACAAAGGAACAAAACTCGGAGCAATTCCCACGGCGAGTCCTGGATATTCCTTCCCACACTTTTCCCAGACTTTTTTCCAGGTCTGTTTCTCCCGGCAAAACAAATCCCGTCCGTTACCATGACAGCGCCGCTCGCAGCAGCCCCATCCCTGTTTTCCAAAGGAAAAACACGGATCCCAGATTTCCAAAGGGGTCTGGATGCTCTTTGGGACACGCCCAAAGCTCCCTGAGGAATTCCCAGCCTGGAGATGCTCCAGAGGCTCCCGAAAATTCCCGGCAGCCGGAGGAAGGGAAGCGCAATCAACGCTCCGAGGTTTGTTTGGATTCGCTGCTTCCATGATAAATATTCATGGAAAAGCACGAGGAGTGCAAATGGCTGCTGGGTTCCAGGCTGTGATTCCAGTTTAATCCTGGAAAATTCCAAAGGGGAGCAGGGAAGGAGCCTGGAATGGCCCAGAGGGGGAAAGGGAAAAAAGCGTTTCCCAAAGTGGAGAATTCCCACATTTCCCAAAGTAGAGAATTCCCACAGCACTTCCAAAACTGGAGAATTCCCACAAAGCACTTCCCAGACTGAAGAATTCCTATGGAATGTCCCAAACTGGACAATCCCCATATTTCCCAGACTGGAGAATTCCCAGGGCATCTCCAAGACTGGAAAATTCCCATGGAATCTCTCAAACTGGAGAATGACCACAAAGCAATTTCCAGAATGGAGAATTTCCCAAACTGGAGAATTCCCCTTTTCCAAAACCCATTTCCAATCCCGATTTCCAAACCCCTTCTCCAATCCCCAATTTCCAATCCTTCTTTTCCAATCCCCCTTTTTCTCCAACTCAATTTCCAATCCCTCTTTTCCAATCCCTTTCTTTCTCCAAACCCAATTTCCAAACCCCGGGAAGCTCCTGGCTGCGGGCGGGACCATCTGGACCTGCTGTCAGGTTGGAATTAGTTTGGAATTCTTCCCTGACCTATTTTTTTTCATCCAGAGCTGATTCCCAGACATTCCATTGTTCCTGACAGCTTCCCGTGCCACTTTTCCTGATTTTTTTTTGTTTTTTTTCCCCAAGGAAACGCTCAGTCCCACGTGTGGATTCCAGCCGAGGGGAATTTAGGCTGGAGCTTTGGATGTTCTTTATTCCCAAACTTTTTTCTTGGATCGATTCCATGACCTTGCAGGCAAAGGTATTGGCAGGATCTTCCCAAAAATCCATCCCGGCTTTTCTATCCCACCCCAAATTCTTCCCAAAATCCTTCCCTGACTTTTCTATCCCACCCCAAATTCCCAATTCTGGCTGTCAGGAATAGGGGGAAAAAAAAATGGGAGAAAGGATTTTTGGGATTGAGCCAAACTCAATTCCTGCTGCAAATTCCCTAAGAAAGGATCCCTGTTTTCCTTCATTTCCGTGATTTCATGGAATTCCAGGAATTTGGGTGGGAAAAGACCTTAAATCCCATCCAGTCCCACCCCTTCCCACCATCCCAGGCTGCTCCAACCTTGGACATTCCAGGGAATGCAGGGGCAGCCACAGGGAATTTTCTGGGAATTCTCCCAGCCAGGAATTTTTTTCCTTAAATTATTTTTCCAGCTGCTGATCCCATGACACCGTTCCTTTGTTCTGGGAATTCCCACTGCTCCCTCCATAAATTCCTCGGGATCATCCAAGGAAACGCAACAAGTGTGGATTTTATTCCTGATCCAAACCCGTTTTTCCCTGGAATTTCTCTCATGGAGACATGGGAAGTTTGGGAAAGGTGACCCGAGGGACCAAAATTCCCAAAATATTCCTTAAAAAAAAAAAAAAAGCAAATCCAACCAGAACAACACCCACTTTGCTCCTATTCCCAGAGGATTTTCCCTCCTCGCCTCAAATCCCAGGATTTGGGGAATGAAATCCCTCAGGGATGCGAAAAGAGAGGAAAAAAAAATCTGGATTTTACAGCAGAGCAATTCCGGGATAATTCCAGACCTCGGGAATGTCAGCCAGGCTGGAAAATCAGCCTGAACCCCACGGGAATCTCTTGGATATTTCCAAGATCCAAAGTGGCTGCAGCTTCCATGGGAAAATCCCTGGATGCAACACCGGGAAAAATCCATTCATCCCTCCCCCAATCCATCCTCGGGATCCACAAGAAAAGAGGAAAAAAAAAAAAAGGGAAAACCTGGAAAAATCCAACTCACCAACATCGGACTCTTTGTGGGTTTTGATGATTTCCGCCAGCTCGAAATTCCCTGCAATGATGGCGACCTGGAAAAGAGCCGGAAAAAAATCGGGATGAGCGGCTCTGGAGCTTCCCTACGGATGGGAACAGCTGCTTTCCATGGGGGAGAGCCAAGGATTCTTCTGCCTCGGAATTCCCAGGTGCCGACGCCTTCCCGGGACAGAGTTTGGGTGGCCCTGGCTTGGGGACAATCGCTGTCCCCTGGAATTCCCAGATTCCAGCCAGGAGTTCATCCCAAATCCTGGAATGCTGCCAAAGCTGTTGGGTTTGGATCCTGGGTAAAATCGTGGAATGTGAAAGAGGTTTGGGATCAGCCAGGCCAGCTGGAGGTGTCCCCAAGGGCCACACCCAAAGGATTTGGGGACATTTCCTGGGATTGGGAATGCCCTGGGCAGTCTGTTCCTGATGGGAGGGGATTTCCCAGCAGCCAAATTCCCAAATCCCCGAGTTCCCAAATCCCTAAATCCCTGAATTCCTAAATCTCCATATCCTCAGATCCCCAAATCCCCAGGTCCTCAAGTTCCCAAATCCCAAAATCCCCAAAATCCTCAAATCCCCAAACTGCCAAAATCCTTAAATCCCCAAATCCGAAAGTCCTCAAGTCCCCAAATCCTCAAATCCCCAGATCCTGAAGTCCCAAAATCCCTAATTATCCAAGTCCCCAAATCCACAAATCCCCAGGTCCTCAAGTCCCCAAATTCCCAAATCTCCAAATCCTGAAATCCCCAAGTGTCCAAATCCTCAAATACCCAAGTGGCTAAATTCCCCAAATTCTCAAATTCCCAATTCTCCAAACCCCTAAAGTTCCCAAATCCCAAACCCCCAAACCCTCAAATCCCTAAATCCTCAAATCCCCAAACCCTGAACTCCTCAAGTCCCCAATTTCCCAAATCTCCAAATCCTCAGATCCCAACATCCCCAAGACCTGAAGTCTCCAAATCCCCAAATCCCAGGTGTCCAAATCCTCAAGTCCTCAATCCCCAAATCCTCGAATTCCCAAATCATGAAGTCCCCAAATCCCTAATTCTCCAAGTCCCTAAATTCTCAAGTCCCCAGATCCCAAAATCCTCAAGTCCCCAAGTCCCCAAAGGATCCTGCCCCTTTTCCAAGGATTCTGCCCCTTTTCCAAGGATTCCCCTCCGTCCCAAGAATTCCCATCCCAAAAACCATCAACAACTTTCCCTTCCCACCTCCGTATCCCACAAAACCCCCTCCATTCCCATCCTTTCCCTGGAATTCTGTGCACGTTTTCCTCCCTCCTGCTCCGGTGCCGAACGCCCATCTCAAATCCCGCCCCGGTGGGACAAATCCCACCTGGAAAAATCCCTGGATCCACGAGAGAGCTGCTGTGGGAATTCTGGGAAGCTCCATGGGATTCCTGGGAATTCTGCTCACCTGGAATGCCGTCTGGCTGTTGTAATTCCGGATGTCCTTGCTGGCGCCTCGGAAGAGGAGAACTCGGGCACAGCTTTCCTGGGGAAAAAAAAAAAAAAAAAAAATACAGGGAAAATGGGAATTAGACCAGGATTGGGAAAAACAGATCTGGAAAATTCTTTGGGAAGAAGGAGGATGAGCATTCCCTAAGGATTTGATATTCCCGACCCGAAAGGCAGCAAGTTATGGAATTCTGGAATGGATTGGGTTGGAAGGAATCTTTGGGATCATCCAGATGCAAATTCCAAGGATTCTCCCCCCTTTCCAAGGATTCTCCCCCTTTTCCCAAGGAATTCTGCCCCTTTTCCAAGGAATTCTGCCCCTTCCCTGAGGATTCTGATCCTTCCATGGGAATCAAAGGGATTAAACCATGGAACGTTCTCCAGGGAAATCCCAAACCAGGCTGGGGCTCTGAGGAGGAACGGCCTCATCCCAGGACAGGGAATGGATTCCACCTCTGGATTTGGGAATGGGGAGATCCAGGAATGTCCCAGGGTGTTTCCACCTGCCCTTCCCTGTCCCCATGTCCCTGTGTCCCAGTCTCCATCCCCGTGTCCCTGTTCCTGTGTCCCTGTCCCCGTCCCTGTGTCCCTGTCCCCGTGTCCCATCCCCATGTCCCTGTCCCCGTCCCTGTGTCCCTGTCCCCATGTCCCTGTGTCCCTGTCCCCGTCCCTGTCCCCACGTCCCTGTCCCTCTGTCCCTGTCCCCGTGTCCCCGTGTCCCACCTGGTTGTAGAGGGCACAGATGTGCAGGGCGGTGTTTCCTGAGGCGTTCTGTGCCGTCATGTCCGCGCCGTAGAACAGGAGATGCTCCAGGTGCTGCACGTGGCCGTAGCGACAGGCCTGGAGGGAAAACAGGGAAAAACTCTCCGTGGGCACCAGGAGAACATTCCCGTGGTGGGATCCCATCCCCTGGGATCTCCTGCCATGGGCACCAGGAGAACATTCCCGTGGTGGGATCCCATCCCTGCAGATCCCATCCATTGGGATCTCCTGCCATGGGCACCAGGAGAACATTCCCGTGGTGGGATCCCATCCCACATGGTGGATCTCCATCCATGGGTACAAGGAGAACATTCCCAGAGACCAACCCTGAACCTCTGGCATGGAATGACGCCATCCATGGGCACCAGGAGCTCATTCCCAATCCCTGTGGATCTCACCCCACCTGGTGGATCTCCATCCATGAACACCAGGAGAACATTCCCAATCCCTGTGGATCCCACCCCACCTGGTGAATCTACATCCATGAACACCAGGAGCTCATTCCCAATCCCTGTGGATCCCACCCCACCTGGTGGATCTCCATCCATGAACACCAAGAGAACATTCCCAATCCCTGTGGATCTCCATCCATGAACACCAGATCATTCCCAATCCCTTTGGATCCCATCCCTGTGGATCCCACCCCACCTGGTGGATCTCCATCCATGGGCACCAGATCATTCCAAATCCCTGCAGATCCCATCCTGTTGGATCCTGTCCCTGTGGATCCTGCCCCACCTGGTGGGTCTCCTGCCATTGGTACCAGGAGAACATTCCCAATCCCTGTGGATCTCCATCCATGAACACCAGATCATTCCCAGTCCCTGTGGATCCCTTTGGATCCCAATCCCTGTGGATCCCTCCCCACCTGGTGGATCTCCTGCCAGCCCCATCCATGAACACCAGGAGCTCATTCCCGATCCCTGTGGATCCCTGTGGATCCCGCCCCACCTGGTGGATCTCCTGCCAGCCCCATCCATGAACACCAGGAGCTCATTCCCAGTCCCTGTGGATCCCTGTGGATCCCTGTGGATCCCGCCCCACCTGGTGGATCTCCTGCCAGCCGTTCTCGTCCACGCAGCCCAGCCGTGCGTAGTCGTGCAGCAGCAGCTCGCAGCAATAGGGGTCCCCCCCGACCATGGCGCTGTGGTAGAGCGGGGTCAGCCCCCGGCTGTCCTTGTAGTCCGGGGAGGCTCCCAGATCCAGCAGAGTCTGCCCGGGAAAAAGGGGGAAAAGTCCCGTGGGAAGGGCTGGGGTGAGGGAATGGGCAGGGGAGAGGGAGGGATGGAAAAGGGGAAAGGAAAGGGGAAAGGAAAGGGGAAAGGAAAGGGGAAAGGAAAGGGGAAAGGAAA